AACACACATACAAGGACTGGATAGCAATGACATAGACTCACAATTCATTCCATGTCATGCATGCACACACACAAACAAGGACGACAAGCCGAGTGCAAGCCATAGGGTTGCACCAACAGAGCTTGAGGGTTGCCTCATGTACCTGATGACTTGCACTCGCCCAGATCTTGGATACCCTCTCAGCATCCTCGCTCGGTTTGTTGCGACTGTTAGATACATACCGGAGCGTTGGTCTGTTGCCAAAAGGGTATTGCAGTACCTGGCTTGCACATTAGGCTTGGGCTTGTGCTTGGAGGGCGTGCCCTAGTTGTCCTCTCAATCCACACAGACGCGTCGTGGGCTGGCGAACTCGAGACTCTCCGGACATCACAGGGCTACTACTTTAGCCTTGGAACGTGTGCTGTCTCTTGGAGGTCCACCCAGTGGTCATCAATCGTACAGTCCAGCTGAGATCTACGCTGGATCTATGGCTGCTCAGGAACCTCGCTGGCTGACGTTCCTACTTGCCGACTTAGGTAAGCAGCCCACGTCCGCCCGTATCCTATTTGCTAACAACAAGGCCATGATCCTCCTATATCAGGAGGCTCGACTTGAGGGCAAAGCCAAGCATATCCAGCTGCGGTACTTCCTGCAGCGTGAGTTGCAGCGGTGCGGCCAGGCACATGTAGTGCACGTGGTTACAAGGGCAAACACTCCTAATATCTTCATCAAGGCGCTTCTATCTCGTGCTCATCGGCGGTTTGCCTTTAGTCTCTTATTTTATCGTAATCTCTGCTATATCGGCTTTGTACGGAACGCGTTCCTCTATACCGGCTATGCTGTTATACTTGTAGACTGGCCTTTCTGACCCTTGTCTCAGTGGCCAGGCTAGAAGTGTCGCCCTGAGCTATTTTGTTAAATACTCTAGAGGCTAGACTAGTAGCGCTTCCTTGGAGTCCGTTTATTACTTGGGCGGAGGGGGTGTGTTAACGTTCATATATATGTTTGTGTTAGGAATATATGAACTGTAGCCTTGCTAGGGTTAAGTTTTATATAGGGTATAAACACTTAGCTATAGGTTTCTGTTTTGCCTTGCCTACCCAACTCATTCTCTTCTCTCGATTGAAGGTTGGATGGAGTATTCACTATCGTTATGCTTGACTAGCATAATCTCATATAGCAGCGACTATTCATAAAGCTTACTTCTCTATTAGCAATACTAGCGTCTTCATTGCTTATGGTCAAGTACAACATTGCCCATCATATTAAGTATACAATATTGTTTGAGTTTGTATATATTTGCTAGGTGTATATGGACTATTACTTAGCATTATAGTCCAATAGGTGTATTATGGAGAGTACAATACTTAGATACAAACTATGTCTTGTCCTTGTTGAACTCCATTCATTCCCTTACGTCGATATGGTATCGAGCTAGGTTAGTTCCTAGCCTCCACGCTTCCGTCTTCATAGAAATAGGGTACATCCCAATATTTCGCACACACCTTTTTATTGCTATCTACTCCTGAATTGGAAGTTGGCTGAGGCTGCTAGGAGAAAGGCTCTTCTCCAGGGCCAGTAGTTTTTTTTTACGACCGTACGTCTCGTCGATGCTGTTGAGCTGGATGCATCCGAAGGAGGAGTTCCGAGCTTTTGCTGTTTCTTGTAGACCCCCTGCGTCCTCTTGAGCTGCTTCAGCTCCACCGATGTCTTCCCTAGGGAGCGCGTAGTCGCTGTGGGCTGGTGACGGAAGAGGGCGTTGACTCTGTGGAGCGGTCGACTCCTTTCCACACTCCTTATTTTTTTCCTCGAGTTCTCCGGTACCGGTACCATCTCCCCATTTTTTTTGCTTCTTTTGGAGTCCTTCCCAAAAATTCTCAAAGGGTCTAGCCCCTCAAGAATCATAAGTTTTCATTAAAGCATCTTTATAAGACAACTTTAATGAATCCTTATAATTTATTGGGTCTCCTTGGAGTTTTCCCGTCATAACAGAGTCCTTTTTTGTGGAGTCAGATGATTTCTCTACGATATTCCTTGGCGAAGACTGGTCATGGGGTGGAGATTTTCCCCATCATTTACTCTTGCTCACATCGAATAAGCTCCGTTGAAGTTGACTCTTCCGGGATCCTGCGGCAATTTTCGGAACTGTTCTTTTCTGCTAGCTAGACTGTCGCTTCCCGTTTTTTTTTTTTTTTTTTTTTTTTTTTTTTTTAGGCCGAATACTTCCCATCACTTTTGCAGGTCTAATGTTCTATACGTGTGGCTTTCATTTTGTTGCACTCGAAGATTCGATGGCACGTCACTATGCAAAAATCGCACTCGAAGTTGGCGTTTTTCCAACGTGGTCGCTCGTCGAGTCTGTCGATCTCCATCAGGTGTGGGGTGTGCTGAGCGGTCCCCCTGCCGCGTACTCACTTTCTACTTAGGTAATGGCCGTCGATTCAATTTACTAACCTCCTTACCCGTCAGATCAATCTTTCAGTGTGATCTGACGGTCTTGAATTGGCGGTTTTCCCAATTTTCGTGCAGTCTCATATTTTAGCTGTCAGTTTTACGCTTACTCCCCCCCCTGCTCTGCAGTCGCTTTTCCCAGCCTTTCCCTGTAGTTTCGCCTACATAACCGAGTACCAAGCGTTTTACAGTTGTAATTGTGAGATTCAGGCTTTAACAAAAACGCTCGCACTTTGGAACTTAGGACCTGTGCTTTAAGTTTTTATCATCTAACATGCCTTCTCGTCGTACGTTGTGGTGTGGAACATGGCTTATGTTAGGTTTTTTAGCAGCTCTGGTGCTCAGGGCTCCCTTCAAATTTCACCCTGGAAACCCAAGGTCCAAATCAACACTGCCTATTTTTTCAGGGCCAGCGGAAGAAATGCTCAGAGGGCGCACATTTCCAAGGATTTTACTTAAAGTTCTTCTACGCTCTATGGCTCATCGGTGTTACATGTGTTCTAGGGATGTGTGGGGAGTACTCCTTCCCAACTAGTAGCCCGGTAGTTGGGTACTAAGAAGAGGACGGGTATTAGGAGAAACCTCTATTCTAGGGGGGGGCACCAGGAGGGGGGGTTGTAGGTAGTGAAAAAAAATCAGGGTTACCGAAGAATCTTCTCAGAGTTTCCAGGGTCGCCTTGATATCTTCCCGGAGTCTGTTAGGGCTGGGTTAAAAAAAAACTAGAGAAAATAAGGGCTAGTATAATATCTATCTTAGAATTTCAGTCAAGTGAGGGCAAATGCCCTGATAACATATGCCCTCGTTTGGAAGGAAGGGGATTGAGGTGTACACCTTTTGTCCTATATAACGCTCAGTCATTTGATGCCACGTGTCCATCTGCAGGCCTATTGGCTCGAATTCGCGGGCAACGACCCAAAGTAGAGGCTCATATATCTCTAACAGTTACCACATCTGATACGGAGACCTCCAAACGTGCAGAGGAGACGTTCTCATACCTTACACAGTTGCCCGAGAAATGCAACAGAAACAAAAATGATCGCCCATTCTAGACTGAAAAATGCCAACTAGGTAACCAGACTATCCTATATTGGTCCGATTCGCCCGTGAAAGTTATGTGTTCAACTCTAGAGCACCCGCCCGAAAAAAGGGGCTTGAAAAGGGCATCATGTATACACCTAGCCCGCGGAATTTCTACACCCAGTATTTTCACAGGGGGTGCCACCAAGAGGGCATTCACCCCCTGAAAGCAGCTCCTGAAGGCCAAATTCGGATACCCTTGAAAAACAATTTGAACTTGGGTTTCTATACAAAATGTTTACAGCTCGATTTAGTGTTTCTCGAGTCAGGAAACCCAACGTCAGCTTAGGCAGTGCTCAAAGTTTTTGCCCGCATGGAGCCTGCCAAGCTTAGGCTGTAGGAACAGGGGGTACTGTATACGAACTCATAAATGGTCAGGGTGGAAACAAAATATATTATGCCGCCCAGTTTCAGGGTGTAAATTTACCGCGGGCTAGGTGTAATATCAGGAGGCCATCCTTGTCGCTTCCCGCTGCCCAAGGTGGTTCCTTGACCTGCTGATGAGTTCTTTCAACCAATCGGACGACCCTCTCTCCCAGCCAGAAGCTCCCACCCAGAATTTTCATCCCTCCTGGCCTGCAAAATCCCTTCCAGAATTTCTTGTTTGGGTCAGACACAGGGCATTCGCTAAGGTTTTGGGAGGGCCTGTTTCTCCCGAGTCCCCCCCCCCCCACCCCCACTCTTTTTCGTCCGATTTGGGGGCTTGGCGCATTCTGTTTACACCAGAATCACGGCTCGAGTGACTGACAGGGTTTCTCCCCTGTGCTGTGATTTCGCCTTTGAGAGACTGCCTCGGTTGTAAGGGGAGAAGTGAGGTGACAGTGGAAGGGGAGGGAGGGGGGGTGGGGGGATGGCGGGAGGGGGAGGGGGGTGGGGGGCGGGAGATGGCAGGAGGTGGGGAGGTGGGAGGGTGTGGGGGGGGTGGGTCGGGGGAAATTTCTCCGGGTTGGGCCACAGGGACATTCTGATTCTTACGGAACCCGGCCCAAGCACACTTGTATATTTTCCGGGACCCCAGAGTACGTCAATCGTTAAAAAAAATCCGGAATGCCGGACAAACTCTGGAAAATAATTAAATCCGAAAAATTACTCTTGAAACATTAGGCCTGGTCAGACAACAAGCCTCTCCCACTGGCGCCCATAAGCACCCTGCCTTGGTCATCGTGTACAGTCTCCCGCTGCGCGCGCATTCCGCCAGTTTCGTCTCGTCGGCGCGCAGCGATTTCTCGGCCACAGTGCGCCAGAAGGGTCGCCCCACCTCGTTAGTTCACTTCACCCCAAACCAAACCCCTCTGCTGCAGCTGCTGGGCGCTCTTCCCTGGGGGATTGTGGGGGAGGCAGAGGAGACACCGGCAAGCACTTTCGCAGGGGCGGGGTTGGAGAAAGTTATTTCTGACCGACCCCAGGCCAGAATCCGCTCAGGTTGACTCGATTCCCCCTCTTTGCCTTGCCTTCCGTCCCTCCTCCCCCTTCTGTCATTCTTCCCTCTCCTCTCCTTCCATCATCACCAGCCTCTTTGCTTGCCATAGTTGCCTTGAATTACCAAACGAGTTTGCTAGCTACCAGCTTCAAAACCCGCCGTTCTTTTTCGCGCGCTCGCGCTCGCGCTCACCTTCCGACGAAGCAGCTGTCGTCGCGACTTGGGGTCACCCAGACTGGTCTGCGCAGTGCGGAGCATCGCGACGATGTCGTGCCTGCCTGCCGATCGAATCCCCAAGCATGAAGCATTGCCCGGCGCTTTGCACGCTTTCTAGCCTGCCTCTCTCTCCGACCGTCACACTCCGGGATCTGGCGTATTGTTCATCCGATCGGTGTATAGGTGGGAGCCCGGCTAGTGTGTGCTCTCGTCGCCGCTTCGCCAGCAGCGGCAGTCCGTAGGCCCGTGAACGGCGTACCTTAGGGACGGAGAATCCACCGGCCCGTAGTGCAAGTGTCGCGCGGCGCAGGTGCGAAACCTGTAGGCATTGGGGAAGCTGCGGAAGCGAAGGTTGAGAGACAACGAGGAGAGGAATCAGCAGCAGCAGCAGTTGTGCGAGGAGCAAAGGCCGGAGCACGAATGGACGGCGGAGATCAGAGCGGTCGCTCCATGGGTCGCACAGTAACCCCGCGACGAGCGCTCGCTCGCACACAGTCGCCCAAGCCCAGCCGGACGACGGGCGGCCCGGGCGTCGACATGGAGCCGCTCGTGCTCGCGCTGGGCGACTCGGACGTGGAGCGCGCGCGAGAGGCGGCGTCCGCGATCCGGTCGTCGTTGAAGAACAACCCCGATAACAAGGCGCGGCTGCTGGCGGCGGGTGGCATCGACGCGCTGATCCGGCTGCTCAAGTCGCGCGACACGTCGTGCGTGGACCACGCGGTGACGGCGCTGCTGAACCTCTCGCTCTCGGACGGCGTCGAGCCCATGGTGACCGCGGCGGGCGGCATCGAGGGCATCGTGGGGGTTCTCAACTCCGGCAGCAACGTCGCGCGGGAGAACGCCGCCGCCGCGCTCTTCACGCTGTCGGGCCCGCCGGACAACAAGCTGCGCGTGAAGGACGCGGGCGCGGTCCCCGGGCTCGTGACCCTCCTGCGCACGGGCAGCCTGCGCGGAAAGAAAGACGCGGCGCTTGCTCTCTTCAACCTCTCCCTCGAGGACTCGTGCATCGGGGAGATCATCGACGCGGGCGCCGTGCGCGTGCTGTTGGGGCTGCTGCGATCGGACGCGGAGGCGGGCATGGAGGACAAGGTGATGGCCGTGGTGGCGAATCTGTGCAAGTTCTCCGAGGGGCGCCACGCCGTGCACAAGGAGGGCGGCATCCACGCGCTCGTGGGCGTGATCGAGTCGGGGTCGGCGCGCGCCAAGGAGGACGCGGCGGTGTCGCTGCACCTGCTGGCCGTGCACAACGCCGCGTCGTACCAGGTCATCGTGGAGGAGGGCTGCTCGCCCGCGCTCGCCAAGCTCGCGCAGTCCGGCACCACGCGCGCCAAGGCCAAGGTGACGTGCGGGAGGGAGGGGGCGCGCGGGGGAAAGGTCGCGGGTGGGGAAAGGTGACGCGCGGTACACGTGGTAGGGCCGGCGAGGTAAATTATCAGCTGCTGGCGTCGTGTTGCCACGAGATCGTCCTCAGGGCCGACCACCGGTAGCTTGCTCGTCCCGGCGCCTGCTCGCTTGCCAAGGTGGGGGGAGCAAGGTGGGCGAAGCAAAGGTGGGCACGGGGCGCGGGCAGGGAAACTACCGCACGCATTAAGCATGAGAGGGGAGGTACCCGTGGGTAGCGGCTTAAGCGTGCTCTTCGGTAGGATATGCTGGTTTATGTGCTCCTAATACACCCGCAGAGAGGCACTAGAACGGAAAGGCAATGGGGAAGGCAGCCTCTGGTGGGTTGGGCCGCGTAGGAGATTGACGGGCTAGCATTGGGAACATGTGTGACTGCGGCTGCTTTCTGAAATGCGTGAGTCACGGGGGAATCGAGGCGGAAAGAGAGTTCGGGAAGACCCACAGGGCTTCTCGCGCGCGGCGAGCTGGGCTCGGGTTGCGCTGAGAGCGCTGGTCGCGTACTTGTGTCCTGGGGGGGGACTCCGACGCGTTCATGCGCGGAGAAATGAGAAATGAGAAGCGAGAGACGAGAGAGATGCGTGAGGTGAAAAAATGGACTCTAGTGGCACTGGCCGTGCTTCTCCATGAGGCGCTTGTGGCCAATGTGCGTGAGGCAGGAGGCAGGGCAGAGACGCCCGGCGGGAAGTGGTAAGTGGAAGCGCGAATGGGCACACTTGTCACGGCCAGGTGTGGAGGGTGGTTAAGGCAGGTATAGGGGTGTCTGTGCTCCATGTGTTGGGAACCGTGCCCTGTGCAAGGGCCGCAAGGGCCCACACAAGCGATGCAACTTTGCATGCACAGTGCTGCGTGCGTGGTATGTATATGCATGTCTTGTGCCTCAATTCTCCTCCCGCGATGCGAAAGTCCTCATGTACCTGCTGCTTTCGAAACCCACCTCCGGATTTCAAGCCGCCTGATATACCGCCTTTTCTGTCCCCACACCTCCACACTCCCCACTTCTTTCCCACTTCCCACGTCCAGGCTACCAGGCGAAGGTGCTGATGGACTTACCGCCGATTTCACTCACACCCCCAAATTCCCACACCGCCACTCCCTCACCACTTACTAACGTCTAGTTCCCCACGTCCCCGTGTGCCCACGCCCTCGCCTCCAGGCGAAGGCGCTGATGGACCTGCTGCGGTCGGGGTCGGGGTCGGCCGGGGGGTTTAAGTACGGCGGGTCGTTCTCGCAGCCCTTCGACAAGGCGCCACCCACCCTCTCTGGCGAGCTCAGCCACGGCCGGTAGCCGATAGCGGGTAGCCGGTAGCCGGTAGCCGGCACGGAAGGCAGGGGGGGCAGGGAGGGCAGCAGAGGCAGCAGCAGAAGGGAGGGCGTGGCGTGCAGCGGCTGCAGCATGCAGAGCAGACGTGGTGTTTCTGGGGATGGCAGCATGCGAGGAAGGTAGAACTGGAGCGGATCTAGCAGTGTATACATTTGACAGACAGGGCGATTGGGGTGGAGGGGTGCGAAGAGCAGGAGAGAAGGATCGTGTGAGGGTTGAGGATGTGTGGTCCTTGGGGCATTGCCTTGTGGGCTTTCTGGAGGGAGCAATTCGTTTTGTCAAGAGGGCAGGAGGAGCGTGCTGCTTTTGTTGAGTTGGGTGCGAAAGGCAGGCACTTGGAGTGGATTGAGTTGTGATGGGGGCTGCCAGCAGATGAGGTAGAGTCATGTGCGGTTGTGCCTAGCGACCGGTGATAGGGAACTGCCGCACTGGATTCCATGGGGATGCTTGAAGCTGGTGCCCAGCTGTCACTAGTTGATTCGTGGAGGAACCAAAGCACAGGTGCTGGGGTAATGGGAGGGCTCGCATGCGGACAAGCAGGGTGGGTTGCGATTGAATGTGGGCCGCTGTCGAGGTGCCCTGCTGCTTGCTTGCGACGCTGCTCCTTGAGCTCGGAAGAGAGGAGCAAGAGGCGATTGGCATGAGGAGAGGAGGAGAGGAGAGGAGGGGAATGGAGAGGGATGAGAGTAGGTTGCCTATGAAGCACAGGAACGCGGAGTCGGTGTTTGTAACGCCCTTGGTCACTGACTGCTGCACAGCATGGTTCCTCACCATGCTACCTTCATTCCCACCCCTCCCCTACTCGCTATCTCTCTCTCCCCTCCCTCCCCCCCCCCCCCCCCTCTCTCTCTCTCTCTCTCTCTCTCTCTCTCTCTCTCTCCCTCTCTCTCTCTCTCTCTCTCTCTCTCTCTCTCTCTCTCTCTCTCTCTCTCTCTCTCTCTCTCCTGCTATTCTTGCCCCATTCTGTCTCCGTCTCCTCTCTCCCCACCCCTACCTTCATGCCCCACACATGTGCGCACGCAGATCGCCTTCAGCCACCTCTTTTTTACAAACCACCCATGCATGGCCAGAGTGTGAGACTAATTTGCTAGCTTATTGACCTTCAGCTCATTTGTGTAATGACTGCACTGCACACTCCTATTGTGTCACAAATCGACCATCGCAATATGGTTGAGATTTTATTTTTTATTTTTTTTCAGGGAAGCAACGTTTTGATGAATGTCTTGTGGTGCATCCACCTCAAAGTCTGGTGAGTTGTACCGTAATCTCCCGGATATAGGCGCAGCCATTTAAGCCCAGTGGGCGTATAGTATAGAGGGTAATCTCGCTTATAGCAGTTATTTCATTATAAGTGCACCCCAAATCCAGTTTCTAATCCCTAAAAGCGCAGCCCCCTTTTATCTGATTTCACAATGAAGAAAGCCTACTGCATACAGTCACTAATTAGAAGTTACAAATTGACATTGAATATTATCGCACAAATGAATGAATGATTAGAAAGAGAGCATAGGGATATATAGCCTAGAGTGTTGTAACCTCTAAAGAACAAACCAAAATCGTCTATATTAACATACTTAGATATGTTTGACATATTATGCTTAAAATGTTAGAAAGCGAGAATGAATGGACTAGTGTGAGAAACCTAGAACATGTACCTCTTGGGGTTGCATTCACTAGAAGCACACACCTAGGCTAGCATATAACTTCTACATACAGCATATGTATAAGTTGTCACTGTCAGAAACCCAGCCACTAACCACTGGGTTAAAAGGGCTTGTTGAATTGCGGGTAAGTGCGCCCACAGCCCCCCAGGCTCTGCACCAGTGGCCCTTCCCCGAGGATCTCAAGGGCAACCCCAGCGGGTCACTCAACACCCCCCCCCCCGCTGGGATAGGTGAAAGACACGAGCGCCTCTGCAGCGCTGGCACTGGGAGTTGAACCCAAGACCTTTGGCTCTGATACCATGTCAGAAACCCATCCACTAACCACTGGGTTAAAAGGGCTTGTTGAATAGCGGGTAAGTGCGCCCACAGCCCCCCAGGCTCTGCACCTGTGGCCCTTCCCCGAGGATCTCAAGGGCAACCCCAGCGGGTCACTCAACAGTCACACCCCCTAGGCTAGAGAAGGGATGGTGCTAAGCAAGGAGCACACATCTCAGGGTGGCACTACTAGTCCAACCATTGAGGTAGGGGTACTGAGACCAATCAGCAAAAGTACAAGCAAGACTAAAGCAAGCCAGGGCAGCACTACTAGTCCAGCCACTGGAGGTAAGGCCACAAGGCTAGTCAGACAGGGATATATAATAGAGAGTACACAATCAGGGTTTTAACAGGTGAGTAGCTACAGGAACAAGACCAAGCTGTACACAGTGCCGCTGATGATCTTTAGGCACAAGCACCTTAGTAAAGATATCAGCTGTGTTGGCACCTGAAGCTAAATGAACTACGCGGGCCTGGTGACGCTGCTGTAGCTCGCGCAGGAGGAAGTACTTGTCAAACATGTGTATTTGTCATGTTTGTATAGACTGTATAGGGTAGCCTCTTAGAGGGTACAACACTTAGATATATCTGTGTGTACCCTCTCTCCAACATTATCAAATTCAATTTCTAATATGGTATCACGCGTAGGTAGGATCCCCCCCACCTACCGCTTCCGCTCGCCCCTAGCCCCGTCGCGACACCCCCTAGCCCCGTCGCGCCCCTTCCTAGGACCCGTCGCGCCCCTCCCTGGGCCCCGTCGCGCCCCTTCCCGGACCCCGTCGCGCCCCTCCCAGGCCCCGTCGTGCCCCTCCTGGGCCTCGTAGCGCCCCTCCTGGGCCCCGTCGCGCTCCTCCTAGGCCCCGTAACGCCCCTCCTGGGCCTCGTCGCGCCCCTCCTGGGCTCCGTAACGCCCCTCCTGGGCCCCGTCGCGCCCCTCCCAGGCCCCGTCGCGCCCCTCCCAGGCCCCGTAGCGCCCCTCCTTGGCCCCGTCGCGCTCCTCCTAGGCCCCGTAACGCCCCTCCTGGGCCTCGTCGCGCCCCTCCTGGGCTCCGTAGCGCCCCTCCTGGGCCCCGTCGCGCCCCTCCCAGGCCCCGTCGCGACCCTCCCAGGCCCCGTAGCGCCCCTCCTTGGCCCCGTCGCGCTTCTCCTAGGCCCCGTAACGCCCCTCCTGGGCCTCGTCGCGCCCCTCCGGGGCTCTGTAGCGCCCTCCTGGGCCCCGTCGCGCCCCTCCCAGGCCCCGTAGCGCCCCTCCTGGGTCCCGTCGCGCCCCTCCCAGGCCCCGTCGCGCCCCTCCTGGGCCCCGTAGCGCCCCTCCCAGGCCCCGTAGCGCAACTCCTGGGCCCCGTCGCGCCCCTCCCAGGCCCTGTAGCGCCCCTCCTGGGCCCCGTCGCGCCCCTCCCAGGCCCCGTAGCGCCCCTCCTGGGCCCCGTCGTGCCCCTCCTGGGCCCCGTCGCGCCCCTCCTGGGCCCCTGCAGCGCCCCTCCTGGGCCCCCCGTCGCTCTCGCCCGGCCCCGTCGCACCAGCCCGGCCCCGTCGCACCAGCCCGGCCCCGTCCTGCTCGCCCGGCCCCGTCGCACCCGCCCGGCCCTGTTGCACCCTGCCCGGCCCCGTCGCATCCGCCCGGCCCCGTCGCACCAGCCCGGCCCCGTCGCGCCCGCCCGGCCCCGTCGCACCTGCCCGGCCCTGTCGCCCCCGCCCGGCCTCGTCGCCCCTGCCTGGCCCCGTTGCGCTCGCCCGGCCCCGTCGCCCCGGCCCGGCCCTGTCGCACCAGCCCGGCCCCGTCGCGCCCGCCCGGCCCCGTCGTCCTCGCCCGGCCCGGTCGCACCTGCCCGGCCCCGCAGCCCCGGCCCCGTCCTCCTCACTGGTACGGTTCCCCCCCACCCCGCCCTGCACTGCCCTGCACCGTCCCGTCACGCACCACACGGTACTGCCTTACACCGCACTGCACCGCGCTGCACTGCACTGCACCGCACTGCATCGCACTGCACCGCACTGCACCGCGCTGCACCGCACTGCACTGCACTGTACCGCACTGCACCGCACTGTACCACACTGCACTGCACTGCACCGCCCTGCACCGCACTGGACTGTTCCTGATGGCGGCGGAGCTTCGCTTCGACGCTGAAGGTCAGCCCCTAGAGTTCGAGGCGTGGCTTGCTGACCTCCGCCGCAACTCACTGGCCAGCGGCAGGATGGTGAACCGCTTTCTGCACACCTTGACGGTTCGCTCCCCTGCCCAGACCCCCCTGCTATTCTGCCCGCTGACCCCACACCCACTGAGCGTGAGTCTACTGCTGCCACTGCCCGTGCGCGCTCTGTCTGGCTTTCTCGCGATGCTGTCGCCCAGCTTGCCATTAGCAACGCCCTCCCCCCGTCCGAGCGTCCTCGCTTTAGGTCCCTCACTACTGCTCAAGCATACTTAGATGCTGTCATCAAGCGCTATTCCACTCCTCCGGCTGCCTCGGTGGGTCGCCTGATCCTCCCGATGCTCTTTCCTGACCTTGCTTCTTTCCCCACTGTCTCTGACCTCGCTGCCCACCTGCGCTCGATAGAGGAGACCTGGCGCGCCGCCTGCACTGACGCACAGCTTAGAGCCCACCAGCCGCCCATTACCTCTACCCTCTACCTGCTTGCCACCCGCCTCCCTGACCGCCTTGCTGTCGCCCGCGACCGCTTCCTTAGCCTTCACCCTGCCGACCTCACCCTCACTGACTTTGTAGACACCCTGACTGTGATAGAGACCCGTCACCGCTCCATCGCCCAGGCGAGCGGTGTCGTGCCGGTCCCTATCTTTCAGGGTTGTGCCCCCGCCCAGTGTACCTTCTCCGACGGCTCTGCCGCAGTGGCTGAGACTGCTGCTGCAGCGCAGTTTCGTTCGGGGAAGGGCCGCCGCCCCAAGGTTGGGCGCGGCGGAGGCGGCGGCGGGGGTGCGGGAGGGGGTAGTGGTGGGGTCGGGTCGTCTGGTGCTGGAGGGGACCCTGCCCAGTCCAGCTGAGCCGCCGCCCCTGCAGTTGCAGCAGCCGCAGCAGTCGCCGCAGTCGCAGCCGTCGCAGCAGCCGCCGCAGCCGACGCAGACGCGGCAGACGAGTGTCCTCCCGCCCGGGTGGCCCGGCGCTGGCGGTGGCCGGGCGCGTGGTGGTGTGCCGAGTGGTGGCTCTGGTGGCGGGCGTTGTCAGTACCAGATCCAGACCGGTCCTCGCCGCGGTTTCGTTTGCGGTAGGCTCGGTCACTCCACTCCCCGCTGTTTTCGTCGCCTGGACGACCTCTTTCGTCAGCGCTTCGGCCTGTCGCCAGACCTCCCGGACTGGCACAGTTTGCTTAGTCGTAAGATTCAGATCTTTGATATGGACATGGATGCCATTGTTTCTGCTCTGCATGTGATGTATGCTGATGACTCTAGTGTGCTTCCCGCTTATTACTCACTGTTGCCTAGTGTAGGTGTGCCTAGTGTACCCTCCCCTGCTGCGTCAGGCGTAGGATCCTCTGCTTTGTGTAGTCTTGGTGTTTCCGCCGTCGTTCCGTCGCCAGACGCCTCCGGCACGGACAAGCTCACTGCCCGCACCCTTCCCTGCGTCTTCCTTGGTTTTCCCCTTGACGCGTCCGTCTGGCACTTTTACCACCCGCCGTCTCACCGCTTCTTTCACTCTCGTGACGTCACCTTTGACGAGTCCGTCTCCTACTACCGTCGCTTCCCCCACCGTGGTCCCCCGGTTACTCCCCCCCTGTTCCTGGTCCCTCCTTCCCCGGTAGTCCCTGCCCCTCCTCCTCCTCCTCCCCGTCCCGCCCCCTCTGGTGTGTCCCACGTCACCCCCCTTCCGTCGGTGGACCCGGTTGAGGAGTCTTCTGACTCTGGTGGCCCTCCTGTGCAGTCCTCGTCAGCCGCCCCTCCCCTGGTGTCCCCTCCCCAGTCCCCTCCTCCACCGCTTCTGCCGCCGCTGCAGCCGTCGTTGCCGCCGCCGCCGCCGCCGCCGCCGCTGCCGTCGCAGCACCCGTTCGCTGACTCTGGGGGTGCTCGTCCCGGTAGCACTGGGGGTGCTCGTCACAGTGCTCGCATACCCTCTCAGCATCCTGGCTCGCTTTGTGGCCACAGGCAGACACCGACCGCAGCACTGGTCTGCCGCTAAGAGGGTTCTGCGTTATCTTGCTAGTACATCGGGCATGGGGTTAGTGCTAGGAGGACGCAGGCCAGTGGTCCTTACTGGACACACAGACGCTTCGTGGGCAGACGACGCTGAGACACTCAGGTCTACCCAGGGCTACTGCTTCAGCCTTGGCTCAGGTGCCGTCTCTGCTTCCGCTGGCTGACCTTCTTGCTCACTGACTTAGGTGAGCAGCCTAGCTCTGCCCCGGTCCTGTTCGC